AAAATAAAATGCACCATGAAATGATTTGGTAACCATGGATGATCAATCTCAGATCGATATGAGGTAGGGTGAAGTAGGGTGGGATAGGGTGGGGTAGGGGTTGGTTGGGTGGGGTGGGGTAGTGTGGGATGAGGTAGGGTAGGGTGGGGTGGGTGGGGTGTGAGTGACGTTGCGGTTTTGTGTGATGTTAGTTAAAATAACAAAAATTAGAAAATGAAAACTCATAGAAAAATGCACATCTAAACGCGTTTTTTAATTTTCTAAAACAGAAAATGAAAAATGAATAAGATTTAACTAAACGCGTTTTCTAAATTTTCCAATGAAAACTGAAAATGGAAAACGAAAACTAAAAACGGGAAATAGAAAATAGAAAATGAAAACTGTTTTTCCACAACTAAACGCAATCTAATTCTCTTTAGTTTTTGTATTTCTATTATTGTCTTGTGGCATTTACTTAGTTGATAAAAATAATATTTATAACTTTTCGTATTGTTGTTAATGTTATATCATATATAATTTTTTAGAAAATATGCCTACAAAAGCATTTATTGTGTAGTAAAATAAAAGAAAATAAAACAAAATTTTTTTAAAAAAGAAGAACACTTGTGGAAGTCTCAAACGTGGGCTCTTTGATAGGTTTATCCCAAAAAAAAAAAATTCTTCTCATAATTAAAACATCGAAAATGATAGCTATTAAAAAATATATATCAAAGAGTATGGATTATAAAGAGTATGTGACCAACTTTCCTTCTAATAATAATCGTGATACATTTAACCATGTAACATAAGAAATTCAAACTCACATATCTTCTATAACAAAGCACCCTCAAACCATTTGGCTAGATGACACTAACATTTATAACTCCTACATAAGTTTTTTGAACACCAACACGATTTGTTGTTAATCATGTTATAATCACCTTATTGTCACATCACCCTACAGTAATTGTATAGGTTATACAATATATATTTTGATTAAAATTTACTCTATGCCACAACATTTTATTATCATGTTTCACTTTAATTTTGTTTAAGTCTTTAGAAAATTGTTCTTTTCATTATTTCATTTAAATTTATTTGTAATTTCATTTTATCGCATCAAACAAAAACCATCATCGCTAATTCAATCTAACAAAGCAAAAATACATGTACAATATGTCCACACTTCAACCTCACTTATGAAAAACAATGATTTACATATACATATACACAAATTAAACACCTGCCACAAAAAATACTACATAAAAAAACAAATGTTACTTACTTGACACAAATCCAAAAACTTCAACCTACAGTAACATCAAAACCAACCGGTTTCCAACTGACAAAAAACGCTGCCAAAACCGAGATCAACAACACAAAAATCGCTCTAATCACAAGCATTCTTTTAGTTTTGGATTCCGGTTCTTCTACTTCTATTTCATCCACACTCGAGTCTGAATCAGTAACCGATGACTCTGGTTCAGGGTCATTCACCACTTCTATTTCTTCAACCTGAGTCATTATATTGATAAAATCGGATACAACCATTAGATATATAACAACTTCCCACAAATCAAATTCGTTAAGATTGTGAATAGTGTACCTGCCTTTATACATTCCGATGACGATTTTGTCAAGTTTTGTGGTAACTTTTCACTCAACGTTGCAACTTTCATTTCTTGATTGGAAAATGTTGTGTTTCTTTTTAGGGTTTCCGTCAAAACCCTATTTTTCTCCGTTTGAGAACGCAACTGAAAGATTGAGAGAAAGTATGGATATAATGAATGATATTGTTCTGTATCAGCTAGACACAGTCTCATCCAACTCTACACCTGTTAGAGTTTTTCTCTCTCCTCAAACGTTTTTTGGAGATTAATCAAACTCCACATATCTAACATGGTATCAGAACATGCATCTAAGAGCTTGAAGACTCCACATACATGTCATCATCTGACAAGACGTATTGGAGTACTCCAACGCCTCAGCTAGACACAGTCCATATATGTTTTGAGTCTTTTCTCTCTCCGCAAAGATTTTTTTTGTAAATAAAATCAATGACTCCGTGTATTTAACAATTATATAATTTTTGACAAAAGTAAGGTATACCTGTTTTGTTATACGCTCACGTTCTGTAGCAAGTTGCATGACTGTATCCATAATAAGCTTTGTCTTAATACCAATATCTTTCGCATTAGCCACTTTATCAAGATTAGCCTCACTCAAAGAAGCTTCAAGTGATTCAACTTCAGCTCTAAGAAAGTCAACCTCTTTGGTCAACTCTGAATTTGTATCAGTCAACAACAAACACTGATCCTCAGCGTTTTCAGCTTTGATTTCAGCTATGGAGACCTTTTGCTTCAGTTCATCGATCAAAGTCTCCATATCCCATATTGCAGAATACAACATGTTTTGTTGTTCTTGACCTGCTTCAGAAGACGCCTTTGCATATTGCAACTGAAGCTCGAGTTCTCTCGATTGTTTTTCAAGTATAGTCATCTTCTTCGAGCTGCTTTCATGGCTTCCTTTTAGAAACCCTAATTCGTCAGTTAATTCAATGTTTGAATCGGACAATTGAGCCACCTTCCCTTCGGCGGTTTCAGCCCTAGTTTCTGCTGTGTAAAGGTTATCTTTTAACGACTCTATCATGTTTTCCATTTCTCTTACGCGTTCTTGGATCGATTCGTTTGTTGAATTCGCTTTCTTCAGGTTAGATTCTGATTCGTTGACTTTTTCTTCTAGCGATTTGAGTTTTTCTCTCAAAGTTGAAACTTCGAGATTATCTGCAACGAGCTGTGTGATTCTGCTATTGAGTTTCTCGATTGAAGCGTCTTTTGTGTTCAATAATTTGATACAGTTTTCAAGTTTTAACCTAAATCCATCTTCTCGATGATTAAAACCATTGAGATTGAATTGAATGAGTTGATGTCGAGCTACCAGATCTCTTGAAACCCCCATGAGCACAACAGAAGCATTCTCCGCTTCCAAAAAACGACCCCAAACGACTTCTGCTGCTTCTTCCATGATGAACGCGACTTGTTCTGTCAATCGTAATTTTAGCTTCAAATCTTCTTCGTTTTGCTTTGATTCTGTTAATTTCTTCTCGAGATCAAGCTCTCTTGATAACGATTTCTCCAGCATTTTAAGAACATGAACTTTATCAATCGTTTGTAACCTTGGCTTCGCTTCAATGTCCAAACCTTGAAAATCTTCCGAGAAACCTTTATAATTTCATGTAAATAAAGAAAATCAAATCAAATTCACCCAGATAACGATTTCAATGAATAGATGATGAACTAACTAACTGACTTACATTCATTGTTATTGAAAGCGAATGAAGTCATTTGCAATTTGGCCAATTTCATCTTCATCTCAAGAACATGTTCTTGTGATTGCTTCAAAGAGTCCTCAGAATCATGCAGTTTCCCTTCAACGATTGAGAATAATTCTCCAAGATGTTTACATGATGAGAGCCTTTGATGAGTGTCAACAAGGTCAACGCGAATCAAATCAATTGACCCGTCAAATTCTTTAACCTCGGAATCCACGAAACTGAATAAGAGATCAACTGTGAGCGATTTTTCAACGAATTCCACTGAGACATCGTCTGAATCCATGGCTTCAAAGTCGTTTTCCCATGATAATACGTGTAATAAAAGACTTTCCAAATTCAGTAACTTCTCTGATGAATACGCCAATTGCAGGTCTACTTTCGTTAGAATTTCCATGGAGATTCCGATTTCTCCAATGTATTTGGAATCGGAAACGGTGCCCTCGTGAAATCGCACCAGTTCTGGATTAATATCATTATTAAGTGAATCCATTTTTATTCCTTTTTCTCAATCTGTAAAAAAACAGATCATAAAAGGCAAAATGAAACGTATCAAAGTATGACTTTTGAGATCAAACAGGAAGACTTAATTGTTTTTTTTTTTTTTTGTTGCTCTTTTAAGATCAGCATACTAATTTCCAACTAAAAAGTTTACATGAATTATAATTCATGATTATTGAGGAAAAAAGCTTATTAACGATAATTAGACATCATGAAAGATATACCATTAACAGTAAGTTGTGAAATTCAAGAATCTTATCTTGACCTTAAAAGGAAAAGTTAGCTTCTTGTCTTGAAATTAGAGGGTATATAGGCATAAAATCAAGCAGAAAATTGCCTATTATATCGAAACTGAGTTCACCAATCTGGAGTAGCAAAACAGAATTCGATAAATACTGGTTTAGATTTCGAAATGAAGAGGGGAATATTTTGGGAAGAACAGGTCTCCTAAATTATCCAAAAGTAAAGGAAAAAAAAACAAAAACAATAAATACGCTTCCCATAAATTCACGCAATCACAACTCTAGAATTCTCAATAATACATAAACCCTAAACCCATAGCACGACAGAATTTAATAGAAAGAAATTAATTTGAAGCATGGCGAATTCCCACCAACTAATCATCACAATATTCGAGTTTTCTACAGCTAAATCAGCTAAAGACCACAGAAATTTCTACTTAAATAGAAAAACTCATCAGATTCAAGTACAAAATCTTCTCCATCGTCATATGCAGTTTGAGTAGAAAACAACCGAAACAAAGTCGAACAGAGTGAAGAGCATATGAACAGACACCTACCTGCAGAATTCAGAATTGGGGTCGGGTCAGGTTGATTTCTCAATAAAGATTGAGAAATTACAACTCCCAAATCCCAATCAATTCGACATCAGTTGGTGTTTACTGGAAATCGAGCAAAAGGGATCTCTGCCATTTAATCGAGATTGTAATGCTAACGTGCGCCTTACGAACTCATGAAATGGTTTATTCCTAAATACAAAAACGGTCAACTTGGAAAGCTTGTCAGCAATTGGAGGAGCGTATCGGTTATGGGCGAGGATTCTCCTAACGTGGGATCCACTTGTCTGTTTTACCAATAAGAGTTTGCCACGGCTACAATGATTGTAATTTAAGCGAAAACTACATATGTCCAAAACCTTTTTACTATTTTTGTCGTTCACAAAAAATAATCACATGTTTTTTAAAATTATATAAAATAGTCAAGAACTTTATATTTTTAAGAAATGACCACAGAATTTGAAATTTAATCGTTTTGGAATGATAACCGATGGATATATATCCATTTTATGTTCATCCATTTAGGTGGTCATATTATTTAAAAAACGGGAAATGACTCTTGTGGGATAACTAACTGTTACGTTTGTTTTCATTTTTTTCTTTTTTTTGTACTCAACATACCATCGAACTTGTTGTTTGTGTTCATCATAACCCTTTTGACCGGTTTTTGACCTGTGATAGCCGGTCAAAGTGTTATAGTGAACACAAACAAGAAATTTGATGGTATATTGAGTACAAAAAAATGAAAGAGACCAAATGAGAACAAACTCAACAGTTGGTTACCCTCCTGAGTCATTTTCCTCGAAAAGTTAAATGAAATTAATGTTGCAAAATTATCAAAGATTGCAACCTTCTTTGGCCATAACGTATATCAAGAACGTTTCAGAGGGGTAACTTCGTTAAAACATGGTCTATGCTATGCTTACTGTGGTTAACTGTCAACAACTCTCTACAAAAGGATATGACTGTGTATGAGAGGTATATTTATCAGGATAAATGTTTATCTCAAGGTATATTATGGTGATGTGTATATTCAAGTGCATTACAAAGTTGTACATGTATGAATAATATTCTTTCGTGGGTTATGTTTTGAAGAGAAGCAA